GTAATTGTAAATGAGTTGGTGATGGTTTTTGAACAACCTTTATTTTTATAACGTGTTCCTTTTCAAATTATCATTTACTGAACAGATATAATATTGTTTTCATCTTTTACTTTCCTCTGCATATAACAAATTAGAGACAGAGGCTATATTTCGCTCCTCTGTATCAGGTATTCCTGCATTGTTACAAAACAAAAAGATCTAGGTTGTACATTGTAATGCTTCCTACATCAATCAGTATAAATTCCTTTGTTCTGAGTTTATAAATCATAATACATATTGTTAAAAGGGTAATTAACCCAGGTGCTTAATCATAGGGTTAGTATTGGGCAAGGGGCATCTTGGGTGACGGTACAACGAACCAATGACTCTAAATGATTCCAATACTTTTATTACATGTTCTACGTACACACGCCTGCTCTTGTGCAGTCTGTTAAATTTTCCGATGTGCCTTTTTTCCTTTGCATCTGCCCATATAGGATACAAAGCTTTTGCGTGACAATGAAATTTCATCATACATTTCAAATATGTATAGCTAGGAGCCTTTCCGTGGCTTTTGTAAAACACACGCCGATACATCATTTCAAACAAAATAAGCATTACTCTTACATATACTAATGTGTTTTTGTTTTTTTTAGAATATATATGTTATAGGAATTGGGTTTCCCATTTCAGTGCTTTCGTTGTTATCTTTATATACAGCTAAATGAGCAATAGAACGACGAAATTTTATAAGGTATAAGTATTTATTATTAAAAAAATAAAAACAAAATTATTAATCATTAATGTTTTCCATGGATTTACAAAGTTGCTTTTATTGGAAAATTTGATCAGTAAATCAAATGAGAAATAAATAAGAACAATAGAAACAAAGGTTTTCCTTTCACTTCCATTATTTCTGTACAATCTCTGGTCTCAAAAACGGTGAAGAAATGTCCTTTGAAATAAATATACAAAATACACACAGAGTTTTGATTAAAAAAAAAAACTTAATAAAAATGTACTTATAATAAGTTCAGTCTACTGCGTCGTATATAAATCAAATTACCTGTACATGTAAATATATATATAATGTTCGTGTTTCGAAATGCTTTTTACTCGACGTCGACACAATAGACTTTAAATAAGGGAACTGTTTCAAAACATCAAATATATGACCTGTATATTAATTCAATATTGTTTTTTTATAAAAGAGAATGTGCCCTTCGGAAACATTATTATAGACAATTTTATTAGTCCGCATGGAACGAAAATTTAATATTATGAACTCCATGAGAAATAAATGGTATAGGTTCTTTAACATCTCAGAGAGCTCAGTGTCGAATCTAGTAGCAGAAAGATGCGAAAGATTTTTGTAACGATTCAATGCCAAAAAATACTATATTTTCCAACCAAAAGTGATGTACGCCCTCAAAATGCATCCATAAAAGGAGGAGAATATGTTCGGTGTATATCATATCAACTTTTGTTCAAATGATCAGGCAGCAGAGCTTACCTTAAAGTTTGCATACAGACAGTCTATTTGAAGACGTGTGTAATAAGGATGATTGCCGTTATAATCAATATTACTGATTTCTAATCATTTTAATTAAACAGTACAAAAAAAAAAAAAAACAAAAAAAAAAAAAAAAAAAAAAAACGAGTGTGTGTATATGGGTAGAATAAAAAGGTTTACAAACATTTATATCTTTAATAGCTTAAGTGTTTTAAAGTTTTAGAAACTTTAAAATTTATTTTAAACCTTTCCAATTGTGAGATTGGTTCATTGATCGATATGTGTATAACGTCACTTTTAGTACTAATGTTCTATTTCGTGGCGATCAGTTTTTATTGGTGCCGGAAGCCGCAGTACCCGGAATGAACCACCGACCTTCGGTATGAAAACTTACAATCCTAATCAATTGGAGTCGAGCGCAAAGAACCAATGTCATCATCCACGGTTTGTGACACATCATATGTGTCTGCTATACAACTTATGTTTCAAATATCAAAAAAACATATGTCAAACGAGACAGTGTGTTGCGGACATGAAAATGTAAAAAAAAAGTATGTTGACCTTGATGTCAAAGGTCAAGGTCATTTGACAGTCATGATTTTATGCGATACATGGTTATATTGTAATACACCTTTATACCAAATATCATAAGCCAGTGTCAAAAGATAAAAAAAAGTGTTCATGTTTAAATACACAGATTATCGAGAAAAATACGTGAACACTACACATATTTATTCTGTTGCCATGGTAAGGGTATAACCCAAGCATAAAAATCATCAAAGTAGTAGCACATATCTAAATCTTTACAGATTCATTTAATACATTAAAACAATAAAAAATGCCAGGTGTTTATGTTGATCTTTTTAAAAAGCATCCCAAAAATGCTAACAATGATTCTTTTAGACCAAACTGAGTCTAAAATTAAAGAGGAAGAATTCAATAATCCTTTTTTAAATGAAAATCTTAAAGTTTTAAAAATATATTACAACTCATTTGTATAATTTCTTTCACTGAGCAAGACCTGGTGAGTGATATTTTACTTATACTTTATTATTAAGAAAAAACAATGCAACGTAACCACTTCAGAATAATAATTTTCTCAGCAACATCAATTCGAAATAGAATATCTATCACATTTAAGATGTAGACATTGCAATTTAGACGAATTAGAACATCTAAAAGGTAAAAAAAAAGTATTTTTTGCGAATTTCCATTAAATGATATGATAGATACATCCCGATTTCAAAATATATCAGTTTGGGTAGTTCTTTACGGCAAAATTTAGAAATAACAAAAATAATTCTGTTTTATGAGTGGTATAGATCTAAGAATATGGCAAAATCAATTGATTTTGGGCAGGTCATCACAGCTAAAAATATATATCACTGTCTCAAAATAAATTCCTTTGACGTGTTACAGTTTCGTATATACTCGACGCTTGGGTTGACAATGTAGACTTTAAATGTAGTTAAAGTATCAAAAAACAAAAAGATTTAAAGATTTACATTACATGGGGTATGTTGTTCTACATCTCGTTAAACTAATTAATTAAATCTTGTGTAAATACTGACCCTTCGGAAACATTATTACTGAAAAATATTCCATTACATATATTCCGTAATATCAATTCCATGCACAATATTTCTTCAATTTGGAACACTGAAATTCTTTGCCCAACCTTATCAATCAAATCAATATATATACTTGCTATTTTTCAGGCATGCGGATGGATACGCAGGCGAACGGGATAGGTACACTTTGTGTGTAATAGACATCCCGTCAGGTTTTCACAAATAGATTTTAGACTTTGAAAATGCATGTATTTAAATAAAACATGTAAATACATAAAACACATCTTTTTTTTATTCGTTTCGGATATTAATTGTAGACATTTGTTAGGTTGAAACTTCGTGATCTTTGGCAAATATGTACATATGACCAATATGATACCCGATGACCCAGCGAGCCCCTATTAAACTTTGCAAATGATCTAAATTATACAAATCTGTTTTAAACCTACTCGGGAATGTATCTTCATTGTTTGTTTCCATTCACAACATCTGTTATAGTAAACAAGAAAACATGATCATGATGATAATATGTGAATTTGATCTCTGCTATCAACCATATTTTCATTGAATTTGAATTTGTACTTTTTCATATAAACTTTCAAGTATTGAGGAAGGTACAAACATTACATTTCATACATGTTGGTATGCAAATTCATCCCTAGAGTAATGGTCCTTTTATAGATATCCTCGATTATCAGTAGAGACGTGACTGCAGTTAGAACCTGGAAGATTTACTGTTTCACTTACTCAATATTACAATAATGCAATAAGAGACTGCAGTAGTCTTTCTTTTTTAATAATCTGAATTGTGTTCAAAACAGTCATTTTAAATGTATTAACATGTTTAAGCCGAAGCGTTTACACGGTCATATTTGAATGAATTTAAAGTTTTTTTAACGTATTCAAATGATAATTGTTTGTTTCACAACTTGTTTGCTGAAAGTCATGATAAACCGTGTGGTTGAATTTTATGAAGATTTGTAGAGAACTTTGTAGACATCAAACGAGGGAAAAAAATTTCCAGCAGCATATAAAATATTTTTTTGCTGCTACTGTAATAAAAACTGTGGAACTTCGTTGAAAATGCTTTTATTGCAAATATATACAAACAAGCAAAACATGTTTTATATTTTAAACCTGATATTTGTGGTATTTCATGAAATTGACAACATTTCAAAGTACTGATATATTTGTTCATACATTGTACCTTAATTTGGCATCATAATGTTCATTCTAAAACTCAATTGTCTCAAGACTGCAGATTTTGTTCTTAAGTCTGATGATATACACGTTTGTTATCCTCTTTAAATGTTACCCATTGCCAACGTTTTTTTTCTTTCTGTGAAATAATAGTTATTTGCAAAGATATTTTTGATAAATAATTCACGTTTCTCTACCAGTGAAATTTTACGTGTCTAAAAACAACTTTTAACACTCAATTTAATTAAAAAAGAGCAACCATGTGTATGTGACTAATTGTAGTCATTCGGCTGGCTATTTTATGATGTTGAACAAAAAATTAATAAGATTTAAATATATTAACAGTAGAATTAGCCACGTAAATTTTCTTTTTCATCAATATGACCAAGCATGTACTTCTTCGTTCAAGACATTTGTTTATAAAAAAGCTATCATAGAAAGTCGTCTTAAATACCTAAGAAAGTATGAATACGGATATAATTTCACAGTCTCAGTGAAAGCTTTTTTGGCTGATACATTGTCTCCCATTAACTGTAAAGCAGTACCCAAACAGTAGTACGATATTGATTTAAGACCTGTATCGCCAATAAAATAGTCTTCGGCAATTGTCAAATGGAGATCTCGGCAGGAATTTCGACATTTTCGCACGTTGTTCAGATGGTAATAACATAGGAAAGACAAAAAATGTTCGAAAACTACAGGCGGTATTATAACACAGTCTATGTCAATAAGCAGTTCTATAGGAATAAATGTACCAGTTTTAAAATTGACAGGATCTGCCAGTACAAATTTAAGGGAACGCACCACTCCTTGTTTTCTAACTGCATGCCATTTGAGTAGACGACGGACAGAGCTGCTCCGCGGAATAGTTTGTCAGGTGTACACTTCGAGAGTGCATACAAAATAATTATGAGAGAATTCCTGTATTGTTTTGCTTTGTAAAAAAAAGAAGCAATCTTCAACCACTCCGATACCGTATCATGGTTTATGCTCATTAGTAGATAACTCATACAAGTGTTGTATTGTTTATATCGATTCTTATTACTTAGTGCACTGGTCAGGGGGATGGACTCACATGTATTGTAGCACACCAATGACACGAAATATGCATGAAGATATTTCAATTTCTTGGAATTATAAGCCATAATGTAATATACAGCTTTACTGAAGTAGTTCTGTTTACCCTGCACAGAATCAACACCTACAAATATGTTTGACCTTAACAGTTTATTTATGTCTTTAAAATACATGTAACTGTCATTATTTTGAATGTTGCATGACAAAACCGAAACATGTGATATTTGTCTTGAAAAGAAAATGCATTGCCATCCATAGCCAAATAAAACACGGAGTGTATCAATTAAATTATCCCAATCATGTCCTTCAATCTGATTTTCAAACAAATTATTTCCTGGAATGAAATATTGCGGACAAACTTGATACTGCACACAATAAATCAGCCGACGGAAACATCTCATAAAACAAGGTATCAAATTGTCAGGTGTCCATACAGAAAGTTGTAATTCTTCTGATATCCAGAACATTATTGTCTTCAGGTAATAAGAACACAATAAATCTTTACATCTACTATCAGTATTTATTAAATCTTTTAAAAGAATTTTCATGAGCGCATAACACAGTAACTGCGTATGACTAAATGTATAAAGTAGAAGTTTTTCTCCAACTGAGAATGACATTCTCCATTCTAGTTCCTCGTGTGGTGACCCTTTAAAACCAATTGGTACAAAAAGCACACCATGATTAATGATCATCTGCTTTGTATTTTGAGTTGGCCATGAATTAGTTGACCTCATAGTCCATTGTGACGCAGACGTGACCCAATATTTACTATGAAGGCAATGAGCATTGTCAAAAGCACCTTCTATGTCGGATACACAAGGTCCATGTACAACGGGCATAGTCTCGTCTAAAAACCTGTTCTTGAATAAGGTATTTGACAAATAATTGTCCCCTCTGAATTGTTCACAAATTTTACGCACGAAGGCATGACGACTGCTGATAAGACGTAACATAACATAACCTAGTTTTGAATCCTCTGTCAACAGTGAAACATGCGTTTTTGTAGAATCGAAAACAATAGATGTTATATCATCATGAACCTCGACATATTTCATTACAAACATAATATCTAGATCACTACCAATCATCTGCAGTCCTTCACCAAAACTCCCGCTGGTAATGATCACTTTTCTGTCGTCACTCGATAAATTATCAGAAACTGTATTCATTAATCTTAATGTATTTACGTGATTTTCAGATCCAACTATGTTTTTGCATAGATATTGGTAAAGGGATATTGAAATATCTGAAACAATAAAGGTTCAACATCATTAAATGTAAATTTAAAAGGCATATCACAGTGAATTATATATCATGTTTAAGTGCACTCGAAAACATATGCCCTGTCTGAATGCAAATGATGATTATTATAAGGTACCTTTTTGGTAAAAAAATAACAGGTCAGGAAAAATGTGTATAGATGGATGCTTATCAAATACATCGTGTAACTGTTAATGTGTCACTGGAAAATTAACGTAAAAGCCAGGGATATCGTTACAACACACTTAACTTGACCTTTATTAATTTCTTTCAAATTACAAATATTCTGTTATATTTGTAACCGTTCTATTGCGGTAACATATCTTTAAAAAGGTATCATTTACAGTTATCACTACACATAGACACACATACCTCATTACAAATTCATAGTGAATGTATGCTTCTAAAAATAGAATTGCATCCTAAAATTATACGGAAAAGACGCAGATTATCATTCCTGTACACTCAAAAAGACTTCGTCTGTTGTGATATAATAACCATTTTCAATCCCTACGAGAGGGTTATACCTCCCGACACCAAAGCCGATTTATTTCAGATATAGTGAGAGGAGGGGATAAGGCGTCTGCGCAATGCTAGATGGTTTTGTCGTTTCAGTGAGAAGTAAACACACAAGTTCCAGTCTTACTCCACGAGGAGAATCAAATCTACTATAACATTGTTCGGTTGATTTTCTAGGCACTTGATCATCACTTTTTATCATGTTTATTTTTTTAAACTAAATCTGTACGAGTTACTCTGATTGATTTTAGTGAACCTTTCACTTTACAACTGGTTCTGATTTGTAAACTGTATACGTATATCACTCCACTGTTCCAGCTTATAGTGATATTGAAGGAGAAAACATATGTTGAACCCAACAACACTTTGTTGTGCCTCTTTCAAAACAGGATACTCTAGTCAAGTCTAGTGGTTGTCGTTTGTTGCTGTCTGTCATTTATGTTCTTCAACTTCTCAATTGTTTTGACTTTTAACCTTTTGATCCGAGCGTCACTGATGAGTCTTATGTAGACAAAAGACGCGTCTCACGTAACATTTTTTTATCTGCTATATTTGATTAACTTTTGTAATATAACTATAGTTGTAAAAAAGGTAATGTACATACGTATTAAGATAGAATTATGAAAATCTGAATATCTAAGTATCTTGTAAGGTTTGTTGGTTGTAGGTGCATATTTATGCTTGCAATACACATATTGTATAGAATATCAAATACACACACATGAGATACACCAACGCTTGTGTGATTGATCAATTGAGATATTGATTGTTGTTTAACGCCACTTTCAGCACTATTTGCTGTATCATGGCTGTCAGTTTTTAGTAATTGATTGTTTGCATTTACGCGTATTCTGCTGAATGAACATACATGTAAACAATTCATATGTTTCCATAAAGGATTACTTTTGCGAGGAGTACTAATAAAATCATAAAAGTTCCATCTCAAATGCTGACAATTCAAATTGAATGCACTACAGATATGATAAATAAAATGCGAAAAATGTACAATTGTATACCATAAAACTGCATAAGAAGATTATTTATTGGACACAGTTTAAAAAAAAAATCTAACTTTAAGATATTTCGATTCAAAATAGGGCGATATTCAGCTTCTTAAAAGTACATAGCCTGTATATTAAAAAAAAAGTTTTGTTTGTCTTTAAAAGTACATATGTTATCGGAAATGGGATTCACCCAATTCGGTACTTTCTTTTCTATTTCTTTATATATATAGTTGTCTTATCAAAAGACAAACCAAAGTTGATAAAATGATTAGTCATGTTAGTATATATAAGTAAAATGAAATTAGAAAAAAAACTTTGATTATAATTCATGTTATTATTTTCCTTTTCAGGATTCATCATTGTTTTATTCATCATAGATATTAAATTAAAACTACAGATTTGCTGTTATCGAACACAAATTGACCAGTAGACCAAGTGAGTAATACATAATAACAACACAATGTTTACATCTTATTTCCATTTTTTTTTACAAATTCTGGTCCCAGCAACAGAGCAGAAAAAAATGCCTGTTGAAATATACACTGATCATTCTTTCAAGCAACTTTGATTAACAAAAAATACTTAAATCACTTCAGCCTGTACCTGACATTTAAATTTAAATTACATGAACAGGGAAATATAAAGAGCATTATTACACAAAACATTAGATTTGGTATGAACAATAACAAAAAGAAGCAGTACCAGAATGATACAAAATATCGGATATGAAATAACTCTCAACAAGCTCAAAGAATCTAAACTGTTGATATGAAACCAAGCCGTCCTGTATAGAAATAAAGACAGCTCTGCTTATGAATACATTTCATACTGAAAGTAATACAAAGTACTGTAGAGCACGAATTTCTCTGCAAGAACCCGTACATAATGTACTACATGTACATATGAAAAACATTCAGTCTTGCTTTACCCTATTCATTAAATAATTCTTAAAGACGATCTGAGCAATTACTGTTTATTTTGATTTTCATGGCATTTTTAATTCATTTTTTTAGTAATTGCAATTGATAAAAAATATGCGAAAGTACACGTGAAGTTATTACAATTTTATGGAATGTTGCATACTAATTATGCGATATAAAATTTATATGCGAGTTTTTAGTTTTTGCAGATGCCTTTAGCCTTTTAGTTTTTCTATGTTCGTAACAGTAGAATAATAAGACACATTTCTGAATCAGAACATATCGTATAGAAATGAACTTTTGGTGCACTAACATTTGCGAATTGACTATTGGCATTATCAATAAAAACTGATTGAATCTTACCTTCCATGTTAGTATTTTACAATGAATGTTTATATTGTGCAGAATTTTACAGAATCACTTTGAATCCAAAAGTTAAAATAGCTGTGAGGTCTTGAATAGTTCGAAAAAAGAATATCAAACTCACAATTACATCCTTCACTGACTTTGCCTATTCAGCCGTTGAAGTTTTATTTGACAACATATACTTTATATTATTCTTTTTATACCCGTTCGAATTTACAAAACAATGGTATATACTTCCGTATAACAGATAATTGAATCATGAGCATTGAACATCTTTTTGTATCTGAAGCTGATTTACGATATCAGGATAACATTTAAAAAAAAACCTGATTTCTATTTCCTGGACATTTTTTGTCATTGAAGTATTATTTTTGTCAGTTCTGCTATATTTGAATATAAGCAATTTTCATATCAATTCCTTGACATTCAATTATTAATCATAATTTTATTTTGTAAACAAAATATAAAGTTTCGTACCTATAACTGCTGAAAAAAGGAATATCACATATTGGGAAATTATGTCAAGTTTTTCTGTTTTTATTTGTCATAAATGCTGTTTTCGCAGTTCTTCCATCCAAATATAATGTATTGATATGTAATCATATTCAAGAGAACAATAGTATTGCGTCGTTATTTTATTTGTTAAAAAGTAAAATGGAGTATATGCAAATTATTTCAAGTTGTTCAATTTAGAAAGTGTATTCTATGATACGATGGCATAAGTAATCAATTGAAATGTTTTATTCAAAACCCTGCTTCTGGTCAAATTAACATGATTACCTAACATTATGTCTGATACAAAGTGTGGCACCCATCATTCATGAAACGTTTTGAAAAAGCATAGTTGTATACTTTGTTATCATAATCAAAATAGCCCTGTGTCTGAAAAAACAATAGATCAATAGATCACAGATCTGCCATCAACACCGAACCAAATAAATGATAGAAAAAAACATTAAGAAATAGCAGAATATATTCATTGCTCAAGTTCGTTTCTAGACCTAGACATATGAACATATGAAGGAGTAAAACATATAATTAAATAAATGACAGATAAGACATTAAGAAATAGCAGAATACAGTCATTGCTCAAGTTCGTTTCTAGACCTAGACAGATGCACATATGAAGGAGTAAAACATATAATTAAATAAATGACAGATAAGACATTAAGAAATAGCAGAATACAGTCATTGCTCAAGTTCGTTTCTAGACCTAGACACATGAACATATGAAGGAGTAAAACATATAATTAAATAAATGACAGATAAGACATTAAGAAATAGCAGAATACATTCATTGACCAAGTTCGTTTCTAGACCTAGACAGATGCACATATGAAGGAGTAAAAGACATTAAGAAATAGCAGAATAAATTCATTGACAAAGTTTGATACTAGACCAAGACACATGAACATACGAAGGAGTAAAAGACGTTTTTTAGTATTCAAATTTTGACCTCGATAATTGAAATGAAAAAAAAAAAAAAAATAGAAACAGAGCGAACAGATCACTATAGAAAAATAATTTACTTTGTACTATAAGATGAACATGTATTGAAACAAAAGTAGATGCACCAGAATGATACATAATATAGGATATTAAAACACTTTCGACACGAATACACATTTACGTTAAAGATAAAGCATATTTAAGGTGTGTCTTGATCGAATGAAAGTGTTAAAGATAGAAGAGCTTACAATAACATCCAATTGGCAAAACACGCGTGTACCAATGTTTTAATAATCTGTAGTTTGCTATCTAATTAGAGAAAATAATGACGTAATGCATGTTATAATGTATTGCCTTGAAGCACGTTTCATTGAAACGTGGTATCGTCCAGGTTGTTTCTTCAAAACAAGGACCCGGTGTTCTGAAAGAAAATACCTCCATCTAGGTATATGATTTATCTCAACTCTGACTGACTTAGAAAAAATTTTTTTATTCGGGAACGTTTTTTGTTAAAATAGCAAAGTTCGACAAAGGGTGTCTAGTACAGTTTTCATTGACATTGCTTTTCTCGTCGTTGACTTCTTATTGGACAACAAGGTATATATTTCCTTATAAAGAATATTTTAATCATGAGCTACAACCATCTTTTTG